GGAAATATTGGAAAAAGAGCTTGTATTAAATTATTTAAAATACAAATAAAAACCAATGTATTATCTCAATTGATCTTGATATTTTAGACTGACCGGAGGCCGTATTTCTACAATATGTAATTCTATACTTCACTTTCGATGTTGTATCTCCCAGATTGCTCTTTATCTGCCTTCGTTTTCATGGATCGCGCACTAGTATTTCTACCCAAGATATCGCCTTTTTCCTGTTCTTCTCGCGTTGAGGAACAAGAAATTAACAACCATTGCGTAGATCTTCGCTACACACCTCATCAACTTATTTTTACAAATACACTGTATCCTACAATATTTGCCTTGCGCAACCTTAAGTATTGCGCGATCTGCATGCCACTGATGCAAAAGTTGTGGTATTGTGCTGGGCCCTGCGTGGACGCCATTACCCCTATTCACAAGCTGGTCTATCGAAAAGTGCCGTGCGTTGATGAACGCATTGTTATGTGATGTCTTACGCTTATCTTAGGCCTTCTGTCATGATTCATCATTGTCGTTTGGTTGAGATAATTTGATCCATCGACGTGCTCGCACGTCATCCCTTAATGGTAGTCTGATCTTGCGGGAGGGTAGGTAAGTTATGATTTAAGCTCGCACACGCAGCTTTGATGAAGCTCCTTTTTCGTGGTCGGTACACTCCTTGTACTACTCATGTTATGTGTTATTTGAATGGATACTTCGTGATGTCTGATCCCGTGTTGTCTGACTGCAATGTAAATTTTAAAGTGGGGGTATACCTATAATTTTCACGTAAACCAACGCGATAGTTGGAAAGATCATGGTTTCCTTAGTATATGAACGCTGCGTAAGTGTGCTTCTACGCTATCAGATGCGTTGTTTTAGCAGTCTAACGTGTATGTGTGTACGTGTTTTTGTGTGTTTATGTGTGTTTTTGATTGATATTACAAGCAAACGACAAAAAAAATTGCCGAAGTCAACCAAATCCGACGGTGTTGAGGCTTATGCTTTAAGTGATTTTCTCTAATTTATCATACATTTAGAAGAAGGCTTTGAGCATGATGTCGTCTGTAGTCTTTAGAATAAATACTGTTTTTTTTTGCCGACAAATGGTTTTTCATATAAAAAACATTCCTCTTTCTCAGCCAATGAGACCTCCTCTCCCCTCCCCTCCCCCAACCAAAAAAAAAGAGTAATAAAAGTTCTTGGGTTTAAATCAGCTCGAACTAGGTTTTTCTTCGATGCTTATCTCTCCACCGATCTCGGAGTACATCTTTCTTGCAATTTTTACGGAACGTATTTACGACTTTACACATATAAATAGCCTATCAGGATTCAATGAGACAACTTGATTTTGAAAACAATAACGCCTTGTATAAAATTACTAGCCTGCTGCAAGTTTGTGTCGGTTGAAAAGTATTGAAAGCGTTGCAGTCGCGCTCAATAGACTCACGGATGCGAGATCACAACCCCAGTTTAGCAATAGAACGGGGTTCTCCCAAACTCACACAATATAATCTGCAGTCAGTAGTCGGAACTTGTATGTATGCGCACCGTGGCAGACGTCCACATACATTCGAAGTGCTGATTACTGTGATTTGTAATTGTTCAATCGCAAAAAAAAATGGTGCTTAGAAACAACTTGGGAACAGCACATACACCCGAATACTCTGTTTGAATCGAATATCCGTCGACTTTAGAATCGTTAGTACATATATACATACATTTTGACGAGGTCTTCGACTATTACAGTGATGATGGCACTTTCGACTCCCAATATGGAAGAACTACAGTTGGCACTCGATGCCGAGAAAGAGAAAAATGTCGCACAGAGCAAACAGTTCAGTGTACAGCGTGTGAAGTTCAAAGATATGTTCCTGGGCGTAAAGAACGAGCTGGCCGAAGCCACGGTATGTGACTGCGATTTCTAAGACTTACAAAGTGGATATGGATAAATATAGAGAACCAGCTACCGTGAGATATTATGTGTTCATATGGATTACTTTGTAATATTATTCATCCTTCACACTTGTGAAAAAATTGATTTCATATTAAAATGCAGTTTGTATCTCTTCCAGCAGATCATGTATGAAGTAAATGTCGGTTCCAGAAGTGGTATACTTACGATCATATATGGAATATTTCGTGTGGTGCTATTATCTATTTTATTTTGTATTATGTCGTGCACTAGTCATCAAAATTTCACACGAATCCGACTATATCGTATG